GTGCTGGGGGATTGAACCGCGGTCCCTCTGCTTTGCTTGGCTTAGCTTGTTCTAAGTAGGTGCTTTAGACCACTGAGCCATCTCACCAGCCCCTACAATTATTTTTTCACAGGGAAGGAAAATGTCATAAATTCACATCTAATTAAGAAACAAATAACACTAGAGAAAGAATAAATGAAGGTGAAACTTTCTACTCTTTTATCTTTTTTTTACTTTTTTTTTTGTGGTGGAACTGGGGATTGAACTCAGACCCTTGCACTTGCCAGGGAAGCGCTTATTCCACTGAGCCATCTCCCCGGCTCTACTCCTTTATCTTAATTGAGCTGTTTGTTCACAACAGTAATAGCAACAGTATAGCCGGTGGCTTGTTATATCCAGGAAACTCATGGCCAAATGAAAAGAGTTCTAGTGATGTAGCTATAGACTGGGAAGGAGAAGGTGAGAGTACTCTGGTAAAAGTGACCTGTGCTATTTGTAGAGATATAGATTTGAGACAAAAGCCGGATGTCCCAAGAGAGCAGGGAACACTGGACTGAGCCCAAGGAGGGTTGCTGTCTGTTTGCAAATTCCTGGAAAGCTGGGATTCAAGGCAGCAGATAACAGCTTCTCCTGCAGGCGCCCTGTCCTTTGATCCCTTGCTTGGGATGTTATGGGCTAGCATTTGTGTGAACCTAGTGTTAAGCAAATGGTGGAAGTCAATAGAGATAGTAGTCTATATTCACTTAGGTAATTATGCACATTCCTTAGTCTGCCTTTACCCCTCAATAAAAGTGAGATGCTTCTGAGGCTCTGGGCTCACTTGGAGAGAGACTAATCTCAGTGAGACCTCTGAAGCTACATTCATCAGGTCTTCTCGTCGTTTCTTTCGGCACCGACCCATAACATACAACACTATTTATGAGGCTCAGAGTAGTATTTCAAAGTGGACTTAGACAGCTGTAAATGTATGCTGAAAACACATGAGCAAGCATTGAAATTTATTAAAAAACTGTAACAACAACAACAACAACAACAACAACAAAAAACCCTGGGGGCTGTTGCACTTGCCTGGCAAGTGCAAGGGCCTGAGTTCAATCCCCCATTCTGCAAAAAAAAACCCCAAGCAAACAAAAAACAAAAAACAAAAACCTGTAACGTGTGCTAAGACAGAAGAGGTAGTGTAATCATATACAATACTCAAGATCAAGCAAGGTAGAAAAATGAAAACAGGGCTGGGGAGATAGCTCACAGGTCTCAATGCCTGCCTGCCACGCACAAGGACACAGGATTGATCCCTGAGGATCACTATGAGTTTGAGTTACATAGTGAGACCCTGTAACAAATAAATAAATAAACAAATAAATAAATAAGTGAAATAAAAAATTAAAAAGTACAGTGAACAAAAAGAGAGACAAATGTGGTATATATTATCCAATTATATGAATAAACTCAGAGAATACGAATTGATTAAATCAATTAAAAAATACTGACAGAACAGATAAGAACAAGATCCATCTATTTGCTACCCAAACAAACTTTAAATGACAGACAAATTACAAGTAGAAGGAAGGATGAAGAAAAATGCACCATTAGAACACTAATCAAAACCAGAGGAGCCGCGTTAATTTTAAACAAACCAGGTATCAGAATGAAGAAGATCATCAAGAACAAATGTATTAGGCAGTAATAAGCGGTCAATTTCATATGAAAATATAACACTCTTTAATTTTATGCACTGAACAATAGAGCAAAAATCTAAGAGCCAAAAAGATGATAGAACTGCAGGAAACACAAGCCTATTGTTTGTAATTGGAGAATTCACACTGCCTGTATCCATAATTAATAGACCAGTACTGACGCCGGTGAGCCACGAGACCCCAGCAATCAACTAGCTCTAAAGACACTTATAGAATACTCCAGCAACAGCACGTCATACAGGTTTCTCAAGCTCAGAGGAAAGAGTCACCAAGATGGATCCAACAGTGGACTATAAAAGACTCTTAAAAGAGTTTAAAAGAATAGAAATCATACAAAGTATGGAGCTTGATCATGACAAAATTTAATAAGAAACTAATAACAGAAAGATAGCTAGAAAATCCCAAAGTATATGGAAATTAAACAACATACATACTTAAAAATAATACACAGGTCAAAGGAAGTCTCAACAGAACCTAAAACCATTTTATGTATTTATTTATTTATTTATTTATTTATTTATTTATTTTTGTGGTACCAGGGATTAAACTCAGGACCTTGTCCTTGCCATGCAAGTGCTTATTCTACTGAGCTATCTCCCTGGCCCCACGAAAACCATTTTAAATAAGTAAAAATAAAACAAAATTGGTAAAAATGGGGTGCTGGGGAGCTACTTGGCAGTCTAAGTACATGCCTGGCAAGCACAAGGATCCAGGTTCAATCCCCTGTACGGCATGCTATACCAAATAAATAAACAAAATAAAGATTTTTTAAAAATTTGGAAAAAGGTAATAAAAAATATAGGAAAACTTAGAGCACTAGCCGTATACATAAGAAAAAAGATTTAAATTTTATATAAGTTTTTACTAAACTAGGAAAAAGCAATAAACCTAAAAAAGAACAAGCAAGTGAAAATAACACAAAATTATAGCAGAAATTAAAGAATTTGATAAGAAACCAACAGGGGAAAGTATCACTAAGATAAAAAGCTAGTTGTTTGAAAGGATCAATAAAACTTACAATCTTCTAGCCAGGCTAAGAAAGAAAAAAGGTGAGGGAGAGAAAAAGCATTAAGTACTGATGTTAGAAATGAGAGACATCTACCAAAAATTCACGCAAGGAAAAATATATCATCTGAATAGACCATATGTGTATGAAAAATGGAAAAACAAGAACTTTCACAACATGAAAGTATCAGTCCAGATCATCTTTCTGATGAGCTACAGCAAAGACTTAAGAAAAAATTTATATAGATTCTCCAGCTTCTTCTAGAAAACAGAAGCAGAAGAATATTTCTTAACTCAATCTATAAGACCAGCATTTTCCTAATGCTAAAACCTGACAAAGCCATTACAAGATATAAAAAGTAAGACCAGGATCTTGTAATATCATAGATTAAAAAACCTTGACAGGGGGGCTGGTGAGATGGCTCAGTGGTCTAAAGCACCTACTTAGAACAAGCCTGGCAAAGCACAGGGACCGCGCTTCAAGTCCCCAGCACCACAAGCCAGCCAGCCCCGCCTCCTGGTGGGCTGAGTGGCCACACACACACACACAAATAAATAAAATTAAAAAAAAAATTCATGGGGCTGGTGAGATGGCTCAGTGGTCTAAAGCACCTACTTAGAACAAGCTTAGCAAAGCACAGGGACCGCGGTTCAATCCCCCAGCACCACAAGCCAGCCCTGCCACCTGGTGGGCTGAGCTGGCCACACACACACACACACACACACACACACAAATACATAAATAATTTTTTAAAAAAACAACTTTGACAGGCTATTAGCAAATCAAACCCAGAAATGGATATAAGTAATTACACATGATGCCAAGTGGGGCTTATTCCAGGCCTGAAAGTCTAGTTGGAAGTCCAAAAGATAAATGATACAGTTGGTTACAACACAGGCTACCGAACAAAAGGAATGTGAATATATTGCTGGATTTAGGGGGAAAAATCCATTTGACAAGGTTCCACACTCAGGGCCGGTGAGACAGCTCAGCAGAGGAAGGACCTGATGAGCCTGAGACCGGTCGGGGCGTGGTGGTGCATGCCTGCAATCCCAGTGCTGGGAAGGCTGAAAACAGGAGGGTCACTACCAGTCCGAGTTGTGTAGTGAGACCTTGTACCAAATACATTAAAAATAAAAACAAAAAATTCATATAGAATGAAAAATACTGAAGTATAAATCTGAAAAAAAAAATGTGTTCAAGATGTCTATGGAGAACTCTACAAAAGTCTGATAAAGCAAGCTAAAAAATGAGGAAATGTTCCAAGACCATGGATAAGAAGAGCGTTAATACATCAGGTCTGCTTTTCTAGGATTCAAAATAATATTAATGATTCCAAAATTTATGAAAGACATAAGAGCTACAGCTGTCAATAACATATGAAAGAACTACATGAGAGGACATTACCTAATTTAAAAGCTACAATAATCGAGACAGTCTGGGGGCTGGGGTGATAGCTCAGTGGAATAAGTGTCTGCCTGACAAGTGCAAGGTTCTGAGTTTGATCCCTGGTACCACAAAAGGAAAAACAAAAAGAAGACAGTGCAGTGTTGATCAAAGAACAAACAGATCAATAAAACAGAAGCAAGAACTCAGAAAGAGATCCACAGAAAGAGCCAACTGATCTTTAACAAGTGAAAGCAATTCAAGGGAGAAAATATCTTTTTGACAAATGATGCTGGGTTAGATACTCATAAGCAAAAGAATGGACTTGGATTCCTTTTCTTACACTATTAAAAACTAACTTAAAACTGATTACAGGAGCCGGGGAGATGGCTCAGTGGAATAAGCATTTCCCTGGCAAGTGCAAGGGCCTGAGTTCAAACCCTGGTTCTGCCAAAAAACAAAAACAAAAACAAAACAAAAAAAAAAAAACTGATTACAGATTTATATGTAAGAGCCAAAATTATAAAAGTCCTAAAAGAAACAACCTAGGAATAAATCTTGAACTGTATTTTCAATGGTTTTCTATATAGGATAACAAAAACATAAGCAAAAAGCAAAAGTAGATAAATTAGACTTTACCAAAATATTTTTTTTGTTTTTCCAAAGGTTACCAAGAAAGTGAAAAAGACAACACTTAGAATGTCACGGGTGGGGCTGGGGAGATAGCTCAGTGGTCTAAGCTTCTGCTTGGCAAACTCAAGGTCATGAGTTCAATCCCCAGTATCACATGCTGTGCTGGTCCCAAAACCAGGCAAGGTGGTGTATACCTGTAATCCCAGTTACTGGGGAGGCTGAGACAGGAAGGTCACTACAAGTCCGAGCTGTGTAGTGAGACACTGTACCAAATAAATAAATAAATAAATAAATAAATAATAAATATCTTTTAAAAAGAAAATATGCATGTGGGGGGATGGGATTGTGTAAATCATGTGTCCTGAAAGAGTGTAATATTCAGAATAAGGAACTTTTATAACTTGTCAATGAAAATAAACTAATATTAAAATGAGGGGATTATCCGAAAAGATATTTCTCCCAAAGATACACAAAAGGCCAATGAATGTACGAACAGATGCTTAACATCATTAGGCTTTAGGGAAATGAAAATAAAACCATAATGAGAGACAATATTCTGTCCTTTAGAAAAATACATAGCAGGTGGAGATGTAAAATACTGCAGGCTTTTCAATAGTCCAGCAGTTTATCAATTGAGTCAAAACATAATTAGCACATAACTGAGCAATTTTCACCTCATAGCTATCCAGAAGAATTTAAAATACATGTCTACACCAGAATCTGCACACAAATAATCATAACATTATCTAATCGTAGTCCAAAGGCCAAAACAGTCTGATTGTCCATGAGCTGAGTGGATAAATAAAATGGTAAATATTAATACAATCTCATAGATACACAGAGGAGCCTTGGAATTCCTATGTCAGCAAGGAAGTGATCTTAATTTTCACGTTGCAGAAATATGCTATTTTTCTGTTTGAGTTTTCAAATTTGTTGTTAGAAAAGTGGCTACCATATGACTTTTACACATTTTAATTTCTGTGTTCCTTTTCATCTTGATATTGTTTATTTTTCTATTTTATTCTTGATTGCTCCTGTCAGAGGTATATCTATTATCTTCGTTTCCCCTACACAACTAGCTTTCTGTTAATATTATTTGTTTTCTGTGTCATTATTTTCTGCTTTTATTATTGCCTTATTTCCACATTTTTAGGCTTACTCTTGTTTTCAGTGCATTTAACTCTGAATGTAATTATTTGCAGCATTTCTTTTTCTTAATCAGTATAGTAAAAGCCACAAATTTTCTTTTACATAATAGTTATAAACAGCACAAGCTCCTTAATTTCTTCAACCTTCCTTGTTTAGCTCTTCAATTTCATTTGCTTTCATGGGCTAAACTGTTCTAGTAGCTTCTAACCTACTCAAGCAGGAACCTGCTTCTATGCTTCAGTTTTCCATGAATGACAGATGCCTCTGATGCTCTTGTCCTGTATAGCAAACGAGAGCAAAGAGCTAGCCCATCTCCTACCTGTGACATAACTCTAGCTAGCAAACCTTTATCAGCAGTAACCTTGACTTATTCTCACATACATTTCATTTTTCTATTGAGACTGTGACAACACACATTTCATTTTATACCCTGATGTTTTGCCCTGTAATTTGTACAAAGGAGGTGAGGAGGCAGCCACTGGTGGAGAACTTGATCATTTTTACCTTAAGTTTCTCTAAATCTGGCCTCTCAATACTGACAACCTGTGCCAGCAGCTGGGCTTCCAGGCCGTCTTCTGTGACAGTGAAATTGAGGAGGGTCGTCTGAGCTTGCAGTTCCGGCTTATAGTGAGGATTTGCCAGTTTTGTGTGAAGAATAAGGCGAAAGTTCTTGTTAAACTCACATTCTTTATCTCCAATCCTGATATACCTAAAGGGGGATGACACAGTCATTCAGGAGATTCTAGTAAGCCAGGACCGACACTGGGGGGCTGTTCCCTTCCTGTCCTCCAAATGCAGTATAGGGTCTACAGGGTCTCACTATGAACTCGTAGTGATCCTGTGTTCAGCCTCCCAAGCGCTGGGATTACAGGCATGTGCCACCATGCCCAGGGGGTGGGGCCAGCAGGGCACAGTGGGGATCAAACCCTGGCCGCTGTGCTCTGCCTAAGCAGACGCTTTAGTCCACTGAGCCATCTGGCCAGCCTGTCTTCCGATTATATTCATAAACCAGAAGACCAGGGGGCTGGGAATTTCTCAGCTACTCCAAATTTTCCTAAAATACAGGAAGAGAAGAATTATCCACTCTGATCTGCAGTTTCCTCACATGTGACATGGTGACAATAATTGACAGCATTTACCTGACAGTGTCACTATAACATGATCAATCCTATGAAGACCTATCATAGCAAATATTAGCTATTGTATATTCTATAATTAAAATTACAGATTGCTATTCTTCACAGATAAAACACATGTAATTGTGTTGATTTACATCTTCATGTATATATTAAACATCCAGAATACACATATAATTATAAGTACTATGCTACTAATATACTATTCTATTTTTCTAGAAATAGAAAAAAAAATACTGTACTTAAAGTTATTTTCCAATTTTTTTTTTTTTTTTTTGCAGAACCGGGGATTGAATTCAGGTCCTTGCACTTGCCAGGGATGTGCTTTTTCCACTGAACCATCTTCCCTGGTCCCCATTTTCCAATATTTTTGACCTACCTTGGGTTATCTTTCTGTCAGGAACCTGATATGAAGATCTAGTAGAAATGAGACTTTCTAATTCATCACAGACAGAAGACAACAAAACCATGACTACTGGAACATAGCAAATACTTTTGCTCAAGTAGTCTGAGCTACAAGGAGTGAAAACCCTTATAAGAAGCCTTAGGCTGGGCACAGTGGGGCACACCTGGCATCCCAGCATCCAGGAGGCTGAGGCGAGATCACTGACAGGCTAAACTATGTAGTGAGACCTTGTCTTTTTTTAAAAAATTATTTATTTATTTATTTGAGAGAGAGAGAGAGAGAGAGAGAGAAAGAAAGAGAGAGAGAGGCCAGCTCAGCCCACCAGGGGGCGGGCTGGCTGGCATGTGGTGCTGGGGGATTGAACCGCGGTCCCTGATGCTTTTGCTAAGCTTGTTCTAAGTAGGTGCTTTAGACCACTGAGCCATCTCTCCAGCCCAGAGACCTTGTCTTAAGAAAAAAAAAAAAGGCAGCCAAAAAAGAAGAAAAAAAAAAAAAAAAAAAAAAGCCTGGGAATATAGTTGGAGCAAAGAACACCTTCTCGTTTTCCTATTTCACCTTCAATAATTATTTAAATTTTAGGTTCTTCCCACTAAGTGTATGGAATATTTTTATCAACTGGGCATGATAGCACATACTTGTCATCCCAACACTTTGGAAGTACAAAACGGGAGGATAATAACTTTGAGTGCAGCCTGGGAAACTCAGAAACTTAGGGAGACTGTCTCAAAATTTAAAAAAGGCTGAAGGTACGTTTCATTACAAAGGTCCTGGGTTCAATCTTCAATACTAAAAAAACAAAAACAAAAACAAAAAATCTAAACCCCAAAAAAGTCAGAGAAATTACCATCATAAGGATAGAATGTGACCTAAAACCCGTATTTTTAATTTAATTATAGTATTTTAAATAACCTGTGAGAAAAAAAAATTATATTACCTGCCCTAAGGACTTGCAGGTAAGATATTATCTCACTGAATTTAGCAAGTGGGAAGCTAGCTACGTTCAAAATAGAAGTTACTGTGTAATAGGTTCAGCCCTTATCTGCAGCAATTTTTGCTTCTATATTTGAGACTTAGCCATAATGCTAGAGCCCAGTAATGTCGCAGGCTGTTGCTGGTACCTGGGTGCTCTCTACCTGCCTCTCGTCTAATGGATGTTCTATTTGTCTGGTGACTACTTGCTTCTGTATGTACAGATTACAAAAATTTATAAGTCTGCCCATTAATCTTGTCAAATCGACTAGACCACGAGAATCCTAGAGAAGTGACTGGATTGGGATAGCACTAACTGTATCGACAGGTTCATCCACTAGGAGTGCATAGGTGAATGGGTGATTAGGAGCGAGGACTCCTAGGAGGAAGCGGATCTTGGGTTGTAACTTTGGGACTGCATCTGGCTCCTGGCTCCTTCCCCGAGGCTGCTGAGTCCCCTGCTCTTTGTTTTCTTGATGCTGACTTTCCTCGGCCATGCTCTTTCACCTTGACATTTCTGCCTTGAACCCAGCTGACCAGGGACCTCTGCAACTCTGATCTAAATAAAGCACCTCTGCTTCAACTTGTGGGTATCAAATATTTTGTCCCAGCCACAAAAGCCTGACTAGTAAGAATGTGCTTAAGGTGGCCAGGGATATAGCTCCTCAGTGCAGTGCCTGCCTGGCGAGTGCCAGGTCCTGAGTTTGATTCCTGATACCAAACGCCCATCCCTCAAGCTCCCCTAAGTGCTTAAATTACCCAAATATAAACTGGGAATCCCAAAGGACTGATCAGAGCCATGAGCTACTGTATTTGCTCAGCTCTCAAATTTTGTTTCCACTGCAGAATGACCTTAAGAAGTTCATAGCTTCAGAGTGGTTTAGTGTCTAAACTTGAAAAAGAGCTGCCAAAAAAGCACTTTCAAAGATCATCTTTATTTAGCTAAAAGGTAAACTCCTTTTTTATCCAGTTTCAGTTTATTTTTACTTTGTCATGGCATGCTATTATTTAATTGCTTTCCAGGAAGAAAATAAGCAATTCATCCAGCAATCCACGTTCTAAGCCAATATATACTTGGGCAGTATGCACTTCTCTTAAAAAAGAAAAATATTTCATTCATCTGTTTAAAAGGTGCATGTAGATGTCATGGTTAAAAACAGACACTGAGAACACTTAGGAGTGAATGAACCAGGGGTCGAGTTAATAAGCAAACCAGACATGACTGCTAACACCTCTGATGAGCATGACAACCCTAAACCTTTGTTTTAGTTCACGGATCTGACACCATCTGCTCATATGTTTGTACATGTATTTTCCAGTTGCTATCATGCACAATAATACCTTACTGCTAATTTCTTTGGTTATATGTGTTATTGTGAAAGAAATCACTACCTAACGTTCATTCATTTGGCATGGCACCCCTGCAATGCGCCAGGCTATCACACGGTCTTCTAGGCCTAGGGCGTGGAATCATTACCAAGACAAGTGTTGTCTGTGGCTCTCTCAAATACTTGCTGTCTCAAACTAGGAATTCTAAGCATAATGTTTCACAAAGTAATTTATTTTGTTCTTTTATTTATTCCTACATATTGAATACATGCAATGTGACAGGCATATTAAGTTCCAAGATTTTTCTCAATGAAAAGACAAAGGGCTTGAACAGACATTTCTTCAAAGATGACATGCCACTGTCATCAATTAAAGAAGCTAGTTACAGAGGACCATGTATTATATGATTTCATTTATAGGAAAGGTCCAGAATAGGCGATCGATCACTATGTATCAAATCTCTACAATGTGATAGGCACCTAAAGATCAAAGATCTATTCAATTAAAAGATAGGCAAGGGGCCGGGGAGATGGCTCAGTAGGATAAGCTCTTGACTGGCAAACACAAGGATCTGAGTTCAATCCCCGGTTCTGCAAAAAAAAAAAAAAAAAGGAAAAAAAAAAAAAAAAAAATCTGAAATTGATTTTTCTCTAAATGGCCAATAAACACACCAGGCAACAGATGTTAATACAGCTGAGGATCACTGTGACCTTGAACCCTTGTTACAGGTGGTGAGTCTGGTACCATGTTCACACATTTACATACAAGAAGGTTGCTGACATCATTACTCATCAGGGAAACAAGGCAAAGCGACCGTGAAGTACCATTTCACGCCACCAGGATGACTACAATACAAACACAGATGACAACAAGTGCTGGCAACAATGAGAAGAAACTGGCATTCTTGCACAATAACTGATGTGAATTAAAATAATAACAAGCCAGGTGTGGTTGTGCGTAGCTGTAATCCCAGCACTTGGAAACTGAGGCAAGAAGATTGCTGATAGGACAAGGCTAGCCTGAGCTACAACATCAGTTCAAGGCCAGCCTGAACTGTACAGTGAAAGCTTGTCTAAAATAGACAAAAGTGGGCCGGCCAAATAGCTCAGTAGATTAAAGTGCCTGCAAGCAGGCACAGGGGCAGGGGGTTTGATTCCTGGGGGCCTGCAGTGCCAGCCTCACCCCTGGAGTGCACTGAGATGGTAATTGAGACTGGACGTAGTGGTATGTGCCTGTAATCCCAACTCTTGGGAGACAGTAAACAGGAGGATCACTACGAGTCCGACCTAGTAGTGAGACCCTGAACACCCTGTGGATGTTATGTGTTATATGTTATATGTTCCCTAGAAATATAAATAAATACATAAAACAAACAAAAATAAAAAGAATGGTAAATACATGATGGTAAAAAAAAAATATTCTTGCAATTCCATCCTAGATACATAGCTAGGACATATCCATACAAAATTTGCATATGAATGTTGACAGCAGCATAATTCATGATACCCAAAAGGTGCAAACAACGCCAGATTGATACACAATATGTGTTTATTCAATCAATGCATTATTTTTCAGTCACAAAAAAGAATGAAGTAGTGACATACAGCGCACATAAACATCAGTCACCTCGGAAGATTGGGCCCAGCATTACCTGTGATTACCAAATCTAGGAATGCTTATATCCCGTACCTGGAATCCATAGACAGAGAGGGCCTTCTGGATACTGAATGTGGATGAATCGAATTATGGCAAATGAAAAAAAAAATTGGTCATGAAAGGCCACATATTATATGATTCCAATTATAGGAAAATCCAGAATAAGGAAATCAACAGTGACAAAAAGTAGATTAATGATTGCTTAGGACTTCC